GGTAACTAGTTGAGTATTGACATGACACCCCAAGACGAAAACCCCATACCATGAAGCTTTGTTTCATGCATAAAATTATTTGGACTATTGTGTAAAATTACCTTTAGGCAATATATATAAAATGTATACAAAATATAAATGACTTTCATGATTAAACTTGGGCCCCATTCCAAGATATCATGTGTATTCAAATATTTCAAAATCTGAAATTTCAAATACTTCTGCTTCCAAACATTCTGGACTCTTTTCATCATGGCTTAACCAAGTTGCTTGAACCCTCCTGAGCCTCAGTTTTCTCATCTGTACAATTTCTGTACAGATTAGTGATCAAAATTTCTAATTCAGATTAGTGATCACAGTTGTGGACCAATCACCTGAGATAGATCCTACACTGAAGATTCAAAACCTCAGGAAAGGAAACAGCTGCCTAGGTCCCCTGGCACGTGGTTCAATGTAATACGCTATACAGATATTTCATTTTAAGAGGCAAATAGGACAAGAACTGGCCAAGTGACAGATTTGATTATTACCCAATGTATGTATCTCACTGAGGCAAGAGAAAAGGGTTAAAATAGACAGGCAGGAAACTTGGATTCCTTTAAGGTCAGGTTTGTATAGCTGGACTGAGAAATTACAGACACAAGCCAAGCCTCATCGAGGTCAGATCGATGGAGAGGTAACTGAGAGTGAGACACCTTCTCCTGGTACACAGATCCCCACCAAAAATGGGGCTCGGAAACTGGACTAGACCAAAAAGAATGTGAAGAGCTCCGAGGACACTGAGTGGGCACCTTACCCAGGATCAGGTAGGCAGCTGCTCTCTTAACCTTGTAGATCAATATAAACCCAAGACAATAGGCACTTACGCTACCCCTCTCTTGGGACCTCTCCCCTCTGGGAGCTCCGCTTTCTTTTATTTACTCTAATAAAGCCTGTTACTTTGATCTCAACCTTGTGTTTATGGATTTCATTCTTCAAATTCATGAGACAAAGAACCCCAAACTCCACGCTATCCCAAAGTATGTAGAGTTATATGTGTCAATCACATACAAAAAGAAGTGTGACCCAAGAAAAGGAATATTCTCAGAGCTTTTAATACACACCAATAAACAAGATCCACTTGGAATCCACCAAGTCAGATCTGTGTCCTAGTGGATTCTAATGTGCTGTCATGCCAGGAACTCTTAACTTACAGAGCCAAGTCCAAACTTCTCTTTGGGCACTCAAGCCTTCTGCAGTGGGGCTGTTCTTTTCTCCTCATGCCTTACCACACACACCCTCTCATCACACACTTGACAATCCAGCTACACAAACATGCCAGTATCCCCTGAAGACACACCATCAATTCATGCCAAGGTTTTGAAAACATTCTATTTGGTCTAAGACCCACTATTCAAAGTGTGGTCCATAGACCACTAGTATCAACCTTACTTGGGAACTAAGAACCACAGATCCCCAGGAAGTCTGCCCCAACATTAAAGTGTTAGAAACACTTGATTCTTTCCTGGCTTGCATCTTTGGATTTGTGCTTTAATCCCTGGCTCAGATAACTCTGTTCTGTTAGGCCTTTCCCAATATCACTCTCTTCACTCCTGTTAAACTGAATCACAGAGATTCTCTAAGGAGTACATTACCTTTATTTGGGAACAGAATGGCAATGCAAAGGAAATACACATGCCATTGTAGGCCATGAGACATTTAAAGATATTGTGCAAGAAGTTCTTAAAAGCGAAATGAGGGGGCTGGGGTAGTGGCTCAGCAGTAGAGTACTCGCCTAGCACGTACAAGGCCCTGGGTTCAATCCTCAGCAACACATAAAGACAAATAAATAAAAGTATTGTGTCCAACTATAACTAAGAAAATATTTTTTAAAAAGCAAAATGAGGAGGGATACATAAGATATTTTGAAATAATGCTCTTTGGCCATTAGGATGAAAAGCAAAGGTGGTGCCTATCCAAGGTTAGACAGATAGTTACTAGGTAGTTGTGCTTACAGAAGCTGTGTGTGTGTGTGTGTACACACAGTGGCTTTTATGCAAGACTGTAATACAGTCTTTTTGGATAGTTGTTATCAGGCCATTGTGCATGACAACCCTTCCTTCATAACCTCCTGAATTTACTTATTTACTATTTGTTTGTTGACACAAGTGACCCCATGTTTTTTATTTTTGTGGTGCTGGGAATTGAACCCAGGGCCTTGTGCATTGGAGGAAAACACCCTACCAACTGAGGTATATCCCCAGCCCCAAATTCTGAGAATTTCCTTATGACCTTCCCCTTGAAAGAATTCCTCCCTTCTTTATAATCCCACTTTTATAGAACCCAGCAACTAAAACCAAAACAATTTAACCTAAACATAGGCTAGGTTAAATAATATTATGACCAAACAATAATAGCCTTGCTGCTTGCTCCAAGTAATATATGGTCCTAGAGGAAAACCAACTAAACAAAACAGAGTAATCTCTACACTCATGGTTTATGCATCATCACTGGCTTCAAGACTCTTATTTCGCTGTGCCTGTGCAGCCAAAGCTATTAAAGCAAATTCTGCCCAATCCCAATTTCTTCTTGCAAAACTCTCCGGAAAATCACCCAGCTCTGGTCATAGAAATATCCTAATTTCTTCTTTTGAGGCAATACTGAGAAATGATGTTCTCCCTAAATATACAGCCTTGTTAATGGGCGTATTTGATAGGGAGCAGCTAACACTTTCAGCACAAAATATTGCAATTATTTATGTGTACACCAGATTTCTCCCCATTCTGTGCTATTGACCCATTCTGGGTACACATATATACACACACACACACACACACACACACACACACACACACACACATTGTGCCCACAGTTTTAGAGGCCTTGCCTAAACCAAAATAAAAATATTTATAAGGCAGTCCTCAAAAGCAAGTCTGAATGAATAGAGAGATATCTTTATATCCTACATCACAAAGAAGCAATAAGTGTTGACAGGAAGAAAAGTCGAATTGCTTTGTAGCTGCTCCACCCTAAGATCAAACCACAGTGGCTTCTTTTCACATTCTTTCTTCCTCTTTCCAGGCTCAACATTGCCCCAACAACTCTGCTGCCCAACCCTAAATGCACAGCATAGACTCACACCCACAACATCAGAACAACAAAATTCAATGAATGAAAACTGGAACTGGAGGCAAGAGAGGAAGAACAGCAAAGAGACCTAGGGGCCAGAGAGCTCCAGGGCCCAAGGAAAGACATTTCCAACATCAGGAGAGGAACAGTCCTGTGCTCAAGCACCTCCTGCCCTCAATCACCCTTTCTCCACATCCTACTCCACACCAGGAGCTGAGGACAACTGCACTGACGCCCTAGAAAAACATTTATCTCTGCAGATGGCTCTACAGTTTTGAGAATGGAATGTAAAACATGAACTAAAGGTTAAGGACTATTTTGTACATTCTGTTATATATTTAGAGATTTATTATTTGTACTGGGTTGCTCCATGTCAGTATAAATTGTTGATTTATAAGTATGGTGTATACATAATACCAGTTTGGATAGATTAGTTTGAGTCTGTTTCCATCCCTTCGGTGTTCATATGGTCTTTCATTCCATAATGGCTTAAGAGTTTTCAAACAGAAAACATGGGTAAAAATTAGATAATAAAATACCCAAGAATGTCTTAAATTAAAAAGCATTATAACCACAAAGTTGTTGCAAATGTGGAACAAGATGGAAAAACATGCATCTCCTGTAGTGGCAGATACTACAAAGTCACATGGCAAGGGACCTAGAAAGGGACAAAGAGCCATGGTTAAATCAATCTGCAATAGTGTGCTATGACCCAGAAATTCCAGGACTAGTGTACACCAGATAAAAGCCGCCAAAAGATATGTCTGTGTGCCACGATCTGTGCAGCAACAAAAAAAGATCACGAGGAGGGGTGACAGGAGATTAATAAAAACACAGAGACATTTTTAAGTAAAGCTGGGGCCAGGTGGGACACTGGCCTCTGATGGAGGAACAGTGGGCCAGAACTAGCTCCACATGTTTATTACACAGAGTTTCACGTTCAGGAAGTTTAACTACAGAAGCTCTGCAAATTTTTCAAGGCCTGTGAGTTATCAACAGGCTTCTTTGTGCACTAAAAAGTTACAGTATTCAGAACATCTCTGGGTACAGCTATCCTGCTGTACCCAGAAAACCCATTATACTGGAACATCTGCTAACTGTTGGCATCAGAGCTGAGTGTCAAGGCTATTCATGTATTCTCATCTTCTGGCAAGGAATGTTCCCCAGGCTTGGCTTTTGCCAACACAGCAGGATCATCTGGGGCATATTCACTCGAGTCCTCATCTTCCTCTTCTTTATTTTTCAACCAAAACCGATGTATATCTTCTGAATTGGAACTGGGATCCAACGACTTTGCAGCTGACTGTGAGAAAATAACACAGAATTAAGAGCAAGAAAACAAGTCCTATGAAATACTATGTAGTATGTTCTAGCATATTCCAAGGATTGAAACCATTTAAGTCATCCAACAGCTTTTCTGCAAAACTAGTAGGAGATAACATGGAAATCTAGCTTTCGTGTATCACTTGAATGTAGTGGTGCAGCTGCAAAAGACCTAAACTAACACTGTCATGATTCCAAATTTCAAACAGATGCATCTTTAACTTTTCCCAATCCCACTGGGAAATGGAAAAAGGTGTAACACAAATAAACTGATAAGTGACCTGGCATCTTAATTGTTGCTTACATTAAGACTTTGTATCTGATCACCCACGCCCACTACAGTAGCCTCTAAGGCATTCAACTTAGCTTCAAGTTTATTATCAATTGCCTCCTGACTTTGGAGAGCTCAATTGTTGACAAAATGGGCCATCTGGATGCCCCCACCAGGTGACAGAGGCAGTGATTGCAGAAGTAATTATGGTAATTGGGATAATGATACCAAAGATTATAAGTCCTGCTGCACAACATGACTGAGTTAACCAATTAAGAAGTTTTTGTTTGTTTGTTTGTGGTGGTACTGGGGATTGAACCCCAGGCCTTGTGCATGCAAGGCAAGCACTCTACCGACTGAGCTATATCCCCATTATGAAATTCTTGAAGAACTTGCAGCCCTGCATCTGGATACCAGTCACCAGCAATGTCAGTGGGAAGCATAAGAAAGGAAGGCTGGTATAAAACCAGAGTATCTTGATCTTTGTTATGCCTAGTTACACAAATAGTGAGATTATAATTAGTACACTGCACAGAATGTTTCCTGTCTATTTTGGTGATTTTAACATTTCCTGTTAATAATACATAGACTGTACACACATGAAAACCATATCATTGGCTAATGGTACAACCACTGGCTAGATCTGTTAATGATTGACTAGAGATGCTGACAAAAATCCAAAGCAGCCAAAAGATGACATAAGTCTCTCTGTGTGCCTCCTGAACTTGTGGTCTAAATATTACTAACAAGCCCTCCAGGAGGCATGAACTCATAATGAGGATGCGCTGGATCAAGCCTAAGAGACCAGTCCAGGACATATGACTCAGTCTGGGAAATATTATGTCTCACAGGGACTAGATTAGCACAATCAAGCCATTGGGGGAAAAACCCTAGTTCTAAGGTGGTGGAATTAAGGCAATAAGGAATTGGAGGGTGTTTGGCAAGGTTCTCACAAGTGGATTTAGAAAACGCTACTTTAATGATGGTTTGTATATATCTTCCAAAGGACCAGAAATATTGGCAACAAAGATGTCTTATTTTTCTCGGACACTTGTAAGCACCCAGTTTTCTGGCAAATAGACAGGTAAATAGGGGCCTCAGCACTGTACCCAAAATAAGTATAATTAAAGTAATGAGAGGGAGTAAGATGGCAGTCAGATTGACCACTCACCATGGCAGAGTGATTTGTGAACACTGGAATAGACCCTCCTACCAAGGAGGTAGGATTAGTAACAGGAGGGTCTGGAAAATATGTCTAGTAAGTCTCTCCTGCCACCATACGTACCTGGCAACTCACAATGGCCAGCATTGTCATAAACATGGTAGCTGGCGTCACAGAGTTTCCTTGACTCTCAATCATATTCCGAGATTCCCTTATCAGCCCCTCCATCTGAGTCCAAGTTGGGAGACATGGAATTCGCTTCTTTTTCCTGTACCTTTTTCTCTTGTGGACATGGGAGGTAGTGATTTGTGCAGCACCACCACTTGTGGAGTGACCTGCAATCGTTTCAACTGGGGTTTGAGTCCCACTAATGGATCCATCATGACACACCGCTTTCTCAGATCCCCAAGTCACTGTCTCAGCACCTTCTGGAAAGACACAAACATTATCTCTTACCCACCTTATTACTGGATCCAGCACATTCCATTTCCCTGATTGCAAGCCTTCCATCATACTGTTCCTGCTAAACAAACAGGGCCAGAGATTGGATGCCTCTTGGCCACATGTGGTGCAGCCCTGCTCATTACAATTTTAAAAACTTAAGGTAAAAAGAGCATGATGTAATTGGTTCTATGGGGATGGGTAGTATCCACCCTTTTTGTTTTTGAAGTTGAATCTTTAGTGTTCTATAGGCAAATTCTACTATTGCTTGTCCTTGGTATTATATAGCATTCCTGATAGGAAGCACAGAAGTGTTGAAAGAACTGGCTTAAGCCAGACCATAATCTGTTTTAAATTCTCCCACTCCTAATGTTTAACAATCTTTAATTCAAATGTAAAAGTTCAAAACAAGCCATTTGTAGGGCTTGGGATTTGTTGTTCTTTTAAAAGCAAGAATAGGAGAAATGCAACAAAATGATCTTTCTACTTTTCTCAAAAACTTTCAAGGAAAGGATAGACCATAGGGCCATAACAGATCCATTAACCAAACCCACCTTCTCCCTGACCAATTTTCACACCCATTCCATAATTTAATATATATTCCTAAATGTAGATTTACAGTTCAGCTTTGCTTACATAACCATTTAAAAATACTTAGCACGAGCTTGCTTCCTATAATGCCAAGCAAACTGTGAACTACTTCAATCTGAATTTCTTCTTTTTAAAACAAAGGGGCAGTTACCTGTAGAAACCAAATTTAGCCCCCATTTACATTTCCCAGAAATGGCATATGCCTGTCATTCAAAGGCCTCAACACTCTCATGCTTCCAAAATGGAATACTTACCTTATCATGCACAGAAGCATGAATGGCAAACTATTTTTCTATTTATTTGACGCACAGAAAAAAAAAATTGGTATACTTTGGAAATTCAGTGGCACAAGGTACACTGCCATTAACTTGGGGGACATCACATAGTAAAAAATAAGAGAAAAGAAAAAGGAAGTTAAAAAAACTTTTTCCTCCTATTTCAAACACTGCATTACATAATTTTACCTGCCCAAACAGACCATGTACAAATATTAAGTCAATAAACTGTTAACATCCATAAAAAGGGAGCTTTCTTACTAAAATGCAAGAATTTAAAAGTAGTATCTAAACAAGAAAAGACAAAACCAAACTGGAATGTAAGCCTAGATATCACATCTAAAATCGGAGTTTTTAGGTTTGGGCCTTCATACTCTTCTCTCCCTCTACCATATTCTGCTGGAGTCCCAGGGCCCGTTCCTCTAGGACCCTGTCCACACTCAGGCCCCTCACCTGCCTGCCCAAAGGTCTCAGTACACCTGTGGCTTCCCATCATGGAATCACTCATGGTTGCTGGTGGAACTCCAGGATTAGCTTCATAACCTATGCCGCTGCCTCCGCTGCCACCACCTACAGGTGAACATTTCTGGCCTCCTGAACCATAGTGAGCTTCCATGTTGGTGGCTCCTCCCTGACCTGTTCTCAAGTCTCTTTCACTTGGATCCTCGTAGTCCATCTGGCTATAACTTTCTTCTCCTTGGTGTCTCATTTCTTCCATTTCACATTGGTAGATCATCTCTTCCTCTCTGCTATGCTGTTCCTCCTCTTGTCTCCGTTGCATTTGATCGTGAAGTTCTTCCCCACCTCTTATTTCTCCTGGCTGTGTCATCAGACCTTGGCACAAAAGATTTGCCTGGTAGGCATCTTCTATTTCTCTTTCCAACTGTCTTTTTGCATCGTTTATGTTTTTTTCAACTTGTACCCTTTGCTCTTTTTCCATTGCATACAAGAACTTCCACCTCTGAGAATATTCATACTCAAATGTGCCATACTCAGCAAAACGAGGTGGCTTTTTTCTCTCCTTTTGATACTTTGAATTCCTCTCGGCCAATTTTTCAGGATAACCATCTTCATCATTGAATTGTTCAAGAGGTTCCACAATAACTGGACGAGGAGTCGTCGTCAGCAGGAAAACACCTTGAGAGCACCGATGGTATGCTTTCATTTTGGCTTTGAGAGTTCCAAATTCAACAATGCCTTTCCCTGTAGATCTTCCACGACCATCCACAATTACGACAGCTCTTTCAACGGGACCAAACTGGCTAAAAGCTTCTTCCAACAGTTCATTGGTAACATAAGGTGAAAGGTTACGAACAGAGAAGGCATTATAACGTCTGGCGAAGCGAATCTGAATCTTACTGCCTCTCACCCACGTACCATCAAGTTCAGCTTTGGCAAGCTGAGCCAAGGCTTTAGTTTCAAGTCTAATAAGTCCAAATCCTTTGTATTGATGGACAAAAATGTTTCTAGGTTCTCCGTATTTTGCAAATAGTCTTTTTAATTCATCCTCTGTGACACCATAAGGTAGTTTCCCAACAAACAACTGACAACGCTGTGTGTAAGTTTTCTCTCCAGGCCTCCTCAGGAGAGTCATCTTCTCCTCGCTGTGGCCGCCGGGCGAGGGACCCTGGCGGGGCTCCTGGTGGTAAGGCTCCCCGCCTCCTTCCTGCAGTGGCTGGGAGTGGCCACCAGGAGCGTTCAGGTCCCCGCAGACGCCAGGCTTCAGCTCTCCAGGCTGCTGGCCGCCTATGGGGCCTTTGGAGCCTGGGCCCTGCTTAGGTCCTGAGTCCAGGCTGTGCGCGGGTGGAGGCGGCCCGGAAGTGGTGGGGACGTCGCTAGTCGGCTGCGCGGACGGAGGCGCCCCTGGCGGGGCCGAGGTGACTGGGGGCGGCGGGGTCGGGGGCGGAGTGGCGGACGGGTCCGAGCCGGAAGCCGGCGGCGCAGTGCCTACCATGGTAGCGGGCCTGGCCTCTGAGGGACCACCGGCTCGGAGGAATCCTGCAGCGGCGGCGGCGGCTGAGGCCGCTGTGGCGGCTGCTGCTGGTGCGAGGGCGGCGGCAGGATCAAGGGCTTAGGACAGCCTGGGCGGCCCGGCCGAGCTCGGGCTCAGGCTCCTGAGGTCGCGGTTCTGCTGGAAGCCCTGGCCGGCTAGGGCTAGCGGAAAGCGGAAATCGTGGATACCGCCACCGGCACCGCCGCGACTCCGGAACCAATCACGAGACACGCCTGCGGCCAAGGGGTGGTCCCGGCAGAAGCGAGGAAGACGCTACCGGCGTGTGAAGGCTACCTGGCTCCGCACAAGATGGCAGCTCGGGAGACTGAGACCCGAGGATCGCGAGTTCAAAGCCAGCCTCAGCAGTTTTGCAAGCCGCTGAGCAACTTGTGAGACCTTGTCTCTAAATAAAATACAAAATCAGGCTGGGGATATGGCCCCTGAGTTCAATCCTCCGTAAGCACCACCACCACCACCACCACCAAAAAAAAATGGCGGATGACACAGGCCTCGGTTTTGAAGTCCTGGGGTTTCCCTCTGACTCCACAGCGGCCAGGCAATGACTGATCACATGGATCGCACTTTTTCCAATTTGTGCCATAGCAGAAATGAACCGAGAGTAGGTGTTGATAGATGCAAGTGCACGCCATTGACTTCTAAAGGGTAACATCCCTCTGCCAAATGTGATTTAAGCTCCTGAGGGTTTACCCCAGTTGAAGACCAGGCGGGGAATAACACATTGGGGACATTGTCTATGGTCCCGACCTGTTCCCTAGTAAGATGAAATTCTTCGTGCACACTAGAGGCGTTTTGGTGACGTAAGGCATGTGATGTTTGGACTAAGGAATAAGGTGAAGCAAGTTCTACTGGAGGGACAATATGGTCTAATGGTCTATGCATTAGTTTGTT